TCTAAAACATCATACATTAAAGTGCTTTATATTCTAGCTATTCTTTTCTAGCTAATTTTTAACTAAAGGAAAAACACTACCTACGATGCTATTATAATGTTTTATGTAACTATCATTAAAATTTATAATGTTTACCAAAAATTTACTAAATTACAAATACCTTTGAAGTTGAAGCGATTCATTGTAACTGCCGTCCACGAACAATATGACGATGTAAACAATGGTGAGGAAGTTACAACTCAATAGTTCAAAAAGTTTTTCCAGTTTTATATCGTTCGCGAACAGAATTTCCTTCCACTAATATTTTCTTGCGTTTTCTGGCATAAAATTATGTTTTAAGTAATATTTAATTCATTGTTTTCTTTCATTAATAAATGTTTATTTATTAATAATATGAAATGCCTTTTCACAAAAAAGAGGCGCTGGACCAAAAGTAATTAAATAGATGATAATTTGAAAGGTTCGAATATTAGATTGAATACTATTCAATCTTATGTAATTTTAGCTCTAATATAATAAGATAGGATTCAGTAGTCTAGCGTTTTCTAACACGGCAGTATTATATTGCATCTTTCTAATGTTAGATAATATCCTTTTGCTACCAGGGATATGTTATAAATAATGTTATATAATTGTAACTTTTTTTTTTCTTTTGCTTTAATATTATTGGCAGACAGATTAAAGAAGAGAAAGATATGGTTATTTTTAGAGTAAATTGTACTTGTTCTGTATTTATAATTGTTAATAATTGATAATAAATAAGAAATAAGTTATTTTTCTTTTTTCCTTTATTTTTAAAAAGTAATAAATTAAGTTTAAAAAATTTTATAGAATCTCAGCAGAGAATCTTTGTTTTTCAAATGTAACATTAGATAAGGTGATTGCTGTAGTACAAATTAGTAAACTTGATTTTACTTAAAGGTTGAGTTTTCATAATTTATTTTCTGGTGCAAATTTAAAGATGGTAACGTTCATAAATTATATAATTTTAACTTCTATAGAATAAATTATACGTATAGATGATTTATTACTAATAAAACATTTTGAATAATATAATTTTGATATTTGTTTAAATTAAATCATTATTTTCACAACTATATAGAACAATACTTAGGTTTTTAAATAAAAAAAATACATAAATGTCAAATTTAATTTTTCAGTTTATACAACAAAATCCATTATTAAAAAATTATGAATAGAGTTGAATTTAAAAATTCAATAAATATAAATATTTTTTATCCCTATATTTTTGAATATAAATTGACTTTTATATTTTTATTCCTTGTTTATCTTCAGGTAAAAATGATTATATTGTAGCAGTTGAATTTTCGAATAATTGTCTATCGGCAATCATTTTAAAACAAACATACGTTTTTTTTTCACCCACAGTACGCTAAATATTTTGAAAAAATTTAATTAATAAAAGAGTTTTCTGCCATTCATCCTCTCTGCATGTAGTGCTGCCATCTTTATGTCACAGATTTAACTAATTGCAAAATCTCTTCGGTGAATTTATTTAAAGTGATTCCATGAAATTGCCCTCTGCGTGGCTGATAAATATCTCTGTCAAACAAACGTTTTCTAAAATCTAGTCTATAACTTAAATATCTCCATAAACGCTAAATGTGAATGCACAAAAATAATTATCATTATTTTCACTTTCATTAGAATCTTATGTAACTCTTAAGATGGTACTACAATACAAGTATAATAATTTTTACATCTAGTTACTACAGCAAGAAGTCACTACAGCAAAAATATTATTGCTATTTTAGTATTTAACAAATTATATAATAGATACTATAGAAATGTCAATAATAAAATTTTATAACTTCTTTTTAATTCATTCATTTATTTATTTTTAAACTCCAATTACACGCATCAATTTTACAAAAAGAGGAAAAAGAATGTAATCAGATACTGAAATTCGGTATGATTTTTATTATATAGTTCCGCATTTAAATGAAGTAAAAATAAAACTTATTTAAAGTTGTGCAATTCAATATGCAAAATAGGAAAAAAATATTATTTTGCAACATAAGTTTATAATCGATCAACAAAATAACTCATTATTAATCACAAGAATCGCAATGATTTTTATAGTATTTGGAATTTTACCTACACAAAAGGAAGTTATAGTATCTATAATTTAAATATCGATTTTCCGCAACGGAAAAAAAATTTTACATTTTTATTTTAGTTTATTTATTTATTATTATTATTATTATTACTAGAAATTGACAGATAGAAGCAGTAACATTTTTTTCCCCTAAACATTACATGAAAGTTTAAAGCAATAGGCAAAACAGCAAAGGAAATTGCTTTTAAATCATCTACTGATAATAGTAGTTAATTTTTTATATTAATAAAATTAAAAAATGATAATAAATTAATGATTATCAAAAATATGTATTCTTTTTCCTCAATAATTAGGGGGGCTTACGAGTGTAAAAAAAAAATTTTGTGAATCAACCGTTTTAGGAAACGAACTACAATATTGTCAATAAAACTACAAAAATTGGGATTTAGAATCAGCAACTGAAAAAGGTAGCTGAACTATAAATCTGTAGCCGAAGCAGACGGGTATTTTAATCAGATTCTGTAGAGTTATGAGAGCCTAACAACAAAAATAAGCTTTATATTGGAAAATCAACTGCCATTTTCGGGCTATCCATGATGCAAACTTTTTTGGTCGAGGGCCAAAAATCAAGAAAAAAAATGTTTGGTGGGCCAAGTAAGATCTTCAAAATTTAAGAAAGAAAAAAAACAATATACAAGTTTTAATTTAAATATTTAGTGGGATGAAGGAAATTGCGATTTCATTTCTAAAAGTTTCTTATATTAAGGTTCGAAGTGAGATGTGCTTATTTTAAGGAACAATGCTAAATCCTTTTCTGTTAGTCTACTTCTGAAATAATTTTTTCTAAGGTTCATAATTGAANATTATTATTAATATTATTATTACTTATATTATTATTATTATTATTATTATTATTAGAAATTGACTGATAGAAGCAGAAACATTTTTTTTCCCTAAACATTACGCAAAAGTTTAGAGCAATAGGCAAAAAAGCAAAGGAAATTGCTTTAAAATCATCTACTCTTAAGTAGTTAATTTTTTATATTAATGAAATTTTTTCATTAATGTTAATTAATTAATTTTTATATTAATGAGATTTTCAACTGTTTTTGGAATCAAACTACAATATTGTCAATGAAACTACAAAAATTGGGATTTAGAATCCGCGACTGAAAAAGGTAGCAGAAATTATAAATATGTAGCCGAAGTTGCTGGGTATGTTAATCAGATTCTGTCGAGTTGTAAGAGCCTAAGAACAAAGTACAACTTTATATTGGAAGATCAGCTACCATTAATTTCGGGCTATCCATGAGAGGTTTCTTTCCCTATATAACGCAATGGGGACTCTTTTATCAAAATTTCGAAAGAAAAAAAAAAGAAGAAAAAAAAAGATCCAGGATAAGGCTTTTATTAGGGTTAAGGCTTCGAATCATTAGTGGCAAAATCTCATTTAGATTTTTAAGATTCTATTAAACTATTAAGATTCATTAGTGGCAAAATTTTATTTCTTTAAGACAATTAAACTTTTTTAATGCATATAATCAAACACTTGAATGTGCTTGATTCTACATCTCAAATATTTCTGGCTCTAATTAACTTAGTTTTATTCATTTTATTTTTAAAAGATAGCTAATGACAAATCAATTTTATTTATTACATTTTGCTAAATCATATGCATTTTTTTTACATGAGGAAATTAATACAATTAAGGAAACGTCATTGAGTTACTGGGTTGTCAGTCAGTTACCAATTTGTAGTAATTACTGTCATTTTTTTTTTAATTCTAGTTTTAACTTCGGAACTCAAATAACATACGCTGACAGTTTCTTAGTTTTTCCACGAGATTTATTGTTACTTTGCTTAGACATAATTTTAATTTCAGAATAATCTCATATTGAAGCATTTTAATCATTCATATAGATGGATTGCATTAATCAAAGTTTTTAGCTATTTTTTATGTAAATAATCTAAAAAGTATTTTTAGTTAAATATCCTTCATACGTCTCTGTAATTATTTTCCTTTTTTCGTTAATGGTCTAGAAAATAACACTTTTTATATGGTAAATACCAATTTATATAGTAATTTTGTCTGTTTGTTAGAGTATTATTCTTCATAATATTACTAATTATCTTTTTCGTCTGTTAATATTAAAAAAAAGTGTGTACTATTATGACAGAAAGGGTCAATTTCATTATTCTTTTAAATATAATCATTGCAACTATAGATGTGGATCGGGTAAATATCTAGTAGGTAGAGTATTTATAAATGGATATTTAATCAAATTTTTACCTCAGCCCTCCCTTGCCGGACTTTTATATTTTCACGGTCTTTTTAAAGCTTATAAACACGATTTGTCTTGCTCATAGTTCTGAGAACAATATCTTCAGTTTTCAAAAATTAACTTTAAACTTAGAAAAAGTATTTCAAAAAACTATAAATACCTAATAGAGAAGCTACTTCGTTGCATTAAAAAGGTAATGTAAAAAAAATTACCATTGGATTCAGTTAAAATATGCAGCAACAACAAAATGAGTAAAAATCTTTTTAAGGCATATATTTTTGTGTAATATGCTACAAAATACTTATTATTTTGTTTCGTGAATGTTAGTTAGTTACCCAAAGAATTGGTCATAAATTTGAGGCTTTTATGAAATGATTTCTGAAATGGCAATTCTGCTTAAATTTCTTCTAAATTCATTCATTTATTTTAATTCTTCTAAATTCATTATTTCTGTCATTCATTACTCATTATTTCTCTGCCATTATTGCATCTGTCATTCATTATTCATTATTACTGTCAATAACAGCATTTAAACAAGTAAAAAATGTCAAGAAAATTATATCAGGTTTAATTATTAAAATGTGTTTTGAAATTGCTTTTCACTACATTAATAAGACTGTTTATTTCTTTACACGTAGTGATGTGTAAACCTGATTGTCAAAATGGCGGAATCTGCGTCGGCCCAGGAAAATGTGCATGCCTACGAGGATATTCTGGTCTTTCCTGCGAACAAGGTAACTATATAATACAGCAGGGTGGTTTTTAAAAGTAGAATATCGGCTTTTTTCCAAATCAATTAAAATTAATTTAAGCACAGAATGTTTTTTAAATCTCACTTTTCGAACAGTAACTAATCGCATGCACAAACAAATTTCAAACCTTTTCAGCTATATTTTCCAAAATCAACAGCTTGACCAATTTTGCAACTATAAGAGTTTTTTTGCAATGAACATTAAAAATTTAATTTTTTGTGTGAGATGTTTAAAAAAATCTTAATATGAAAATAAATAAATCTATCTATATTATATAAAACGCTAATACGTACGTATGTATGTATGTATCAATAAAACCGATGATATTTCTTTTCTCGCGCTGGCAACAGTTTTCATTTTTAATTGATTGGATTCGGCGCGCAAGAGCACGTAGTGAGCAACCAGATAACAATAACCAGAGTGAGCATTATCAGGTTGTTCAATTCAGATTCATGCACTAAAAACATGACAAT